TTTCCAAGCTGTAGAGCCAGCGTTTGTAGAGTTTCCATGGTCACGTGGCCAGCGCGACTAGACATGGAACGACATTACCTTCCCACCATGGTGGTACCTATTTATATACTTGTATTTTTACATGCTTTCGAACTGCTAGGTTGGCAGTAGCTGGGACAAGCTACGGGAGCTCACTCCGTTGTGTGGATTGGATCTTACAATGGCTGGTCTTCTGACCTTGCAGCACAGAGGCTTCTGCGGTTTAACCCGCAGCACCACCACATCCCTAAATGAGTTTGCTTTAAAGCTACCCTCCCCCCTGCAATAAGGGGACAACCCTGACCAATTTTGTAGAGGGTAATATTTGACTTACCTTCTACAATAATCAGACTGAGAAAATACCAAGTGCTTTGAGCTTTCTAAGTACTGTAGTATTTAAATGTGTACTTAGAATATTCCATTGCTAAATTTTGCTTTCAAAAATAACAAGGGTCATGCCAACCTTTGAACTTGGTAAGGATTTCTTATCTTTGACATCAGAAGCCAAGTGATTCTCTTAAAGATATCATGGAGATGTGTTGAGGTCTAATGTATGACCCTTGGACAACGTCCTCAGATCATGACAAAATTCAGTGAGTTCTACCTGCCTTAGATGTAGAGCTTACTAACAGCTACCTGGACTATTGACCCTTTTGACTAACTTTTCCATTTCCAGTGTTTCAATCATTCACTGACCAGAAGACAGTGATGACAAGCATATGAATAAACCACAATATGACAGTAGTTAAAAACAATGCTTTCCTTTCCACACAAGACCTTTCAAGGGAGACAGCCGATATGCTCAGTTGACATGTTTCAGCTAAAAAGGCATCAAATAGAATCACGTATGCACACTTTGAGTCAGTGTAATGTAGCCGACAAAATGTTGAACTTCGGACTCCAGGGACTTGGGTTCGAATCTCCCGTCAGCCACTGAAACTCACTGAGGGATGCTAATTGCAAAAGCAAATGCCATAAATATCTCAACAGGCATCAGAAGTCCCACTATGATTGTCGTAAGCTGGAATTCACATGATGGTGCACAATACACACACGTACACATCAGCGCCTCAGTTTGGAGATAACGGTATTCTTGGTGTACAACTATACACTTGATGTCCTTGATGCAGGAAACGCCACGTGCGGAGGAGGCTAAGCTCCACACTTACGCTGCAGAAGCCACGCCAACGAGTAACCCGACCAGCTCCTGCCTCTGTGGGCAAGTGGGGAGACTCCCCGCCCATGAGCTGCCGTGGGTCTGTCTCTTATTCACCACTCCCCCACCCCGTGCAGTCACCCCCTTTTCCCCCCCCTCCAGGGGTGACCGCAACACACCACCCGGGACACAGCGATGGCGGGAAGCTCGCTCTTCACTCCCCGCTGAAGGCGTACCTCGACCTCTCTGGGCGACTCGAAACACCGCTGAGCACGGACCGCTCAGTCACAAGTCGGACTCCAGTGTCGCATGCGCACTGCCGGCCTGGTTTCTTTTCACTTCCGGAAAGGTGCCGGGCGCTCCTGGGCAATCGCAGGCTGTTTCCCCCGCTGCTTACGCAAATCCGACCATACTGCGCGTGCGTGCCCGAGCCCTTTCTTTCTCGCGGCCTTGGGTGGCTCAGGTGGTCGAGTTTATGTTCCCCGCGCCGCCAGCAGATGGCAGTAGACCAGCGACAGCGTACACCGGCAGCGTGACAAGGGACAACGTGCTCTTGTGGTTTCTGAAGTCGGGCTTTCGACAGATTTCCCACGCCCGCTAAAATTAGGAGTGATGATGGTGTGGTACAGAAGACATCTTCAGTTCAATGCCAGAATGATTGGGAAATACGTATTTGGCTGAAATCCTGTTCCTTACTGTTAGTAATTTACCACTAGAGCAGACTTGTCCAGTTTGAGTTTTATTGCAACTCTAAACTTGTCAAACTCTTACACAGACAGGAGATGGTATGGTGGCATTTGGCTCTTTGTGTGCTTTGTATCCTTCTCAGTGTATTTAGCCCCAGGTCGGTATAGTTCCCAGTGGGGCTAGGTGAGATACCAAAACATATCAGGGGCTAATATCGAAAGGAAACTGGGGTAGGGATTATTTCATATTAGTCTCCGTCCCCTAAAAAGAGCTTTGGAATATCTTTCTGTTATTAGAGACATTAAATTTTGGATGCTGGAAGGAAACAATGGCATACTTATGAACTTCTCACAATATATAGATGTTCTCTACTGGAGCTTTGGAATATCCTTCTGTTATTAGAGACACTAAATTTTGGATGCTGGAAGGGAACAATGGCATACTTATGAACTCACAATATATAGATGTTCTCTACTGGAAATTATGTGATAAATTAGGAAAGGCAAACCTTTGATTCAAGGATCAAAATCCTGCTGTGAGTGGGACTAGATGTTAATCTTGCCAATATGGATATTTTCTCACCAAGCATACAAAGCATTGCCCAATTTTATGCATGTCTGTTCAGGAGCAAGCCATGGTGAAAGAGTTTCTTAGGCAGTAAATAGCTCACTTCCACCTAACAACTGCTCTGGCTTTTAGTAGTCTCTTATCTCTGATCACTGATTGGAGGTAAGAGAAGAAGCTGGTTGGCTGGACAGGGAACAGGTAGGGGTGGCATGCAGCTCTTCAGCCTGAGGTTCTCCATCCCTTGCTGTAATCCAGCTGTTAGATGTGAACCTGGAGCTCAGAATGGTGCTTCTGTCCCTGGAAAGTTCGATTTAAAATTCCACTGAATACAATGGAAGGTCTGAATATATCCATGGCTCTCTGATTCTATCTGCTGCTGCAGTATACAGTGGCACAGCTTGCAGAATGGACATCAGAAAGAATTAGGAAGGAGTTCTCTGTGCAGTTCTAATAGGTAACATGGAATATTTGTTAAATAAAAGGTATCAGCCAGAGTATAAAGCATATCGCTTCGCCAGCAGACTACATTTCAAAGGCTTCAAAGGTTTATGTGAAACACGCCTCTTGTTATGGAAGTTTAAATGTGATATTTTGTCTCGTGTATCTTTCAAATAATCCAGGTTTTGTACCTGTTTTATTTTGCCATGCCAACATTGTTTGATTTCAACAGTGATTACCTCTGAGGGCAAATAGAACTAAAAAGTGGGCTAGTTTTCTCCACTGTAGATTACGAAGGGAGGGGATAAGGAAACTGATCTGATTTGGCTGGCTTGCTTTAAAAAATCCAGAAAATATAAAAGCATACACCCTATACTGTGATTCTTCTAACCCTCTGAATACCCCTTTAAAAGGCACTTGTTGTCCTAACAACACCACAGTTGCTGATAACATAGAAGGCAACCATGGCTGAGAAGGTGTTTGTAGAGAAATAGAGAAAGCAATGGAAAAATCCAAAGGCCTTAACATCAACAAACTTCTATTCTCTTACCAGGGCTGTTCTCTACCCGACTACCGTGTCCAGTGCAGAAACATTCCAAGCCCTGGAGAAGTTTGAAAGCAGAAAAGATGACTTAGTATTGGTGTCCTATCCCAAGTGTGGTAAATACAACTTAAAATTATTTTGCCACTTGTATTGACAAGCAGGAACAACATTTCTAGTGCTGTATGAGCGAAGGTGTTAATAGCGCTGATGAGATAATGGACATAACTGCTGGTCTTTAAAAGGTGAAGAGAGAGAGCATACCAAACAGCCTATTATTTCTAATGCACTTGAGACCTGTTGAAAACTCTGTAGACCAGTTTAGTTAGGGACTACTATTAATTTTTGTGGTTACTTGCTGTCAGGTGACATCTGCCTTAATGGTGACCCTATGAATTAGAGAACTCCCAGGAGGGTTAAAAATAAACATAAATTTAGCTGTGGCATTGGGCAAGCCATTGCAAAGAGGTGATCCAGGATAAGGATTTCAAAGGTAAATAAAATATTATATGAATGATTGCAGTGTTGCCAACAGGAATTTTCAGAGGGTTGCTCTAAATGTCTTGAAGTTTGAAAAAAAAAACAAGGGTTTCCTGTGTAGTGGGGATGTCCTTTGGTGACTGATCCACTATCATGGAAGAGATGAAGAATTATTTTTCTGCTGAATTTGCACATGCTAATTTTGTTATATTTATTTTTTGGCCCTCCTTACCTTTCTTTTTGGTGGGGTGAGTAATGGAATAGGAGGAAGGCATGCGAGGATCTCGTTAGGGGCTCCTCCATATTTTGGAAGCTGTGCTGCCCTGCGGCAGAGCTCTGGAGGTGATACAGCCATCTCCCCTTTCCTGCATCCTCAGTGTTCTCCCTGGAGTGGTGAGGGGAACTCTGCTGCTGTTGGGCCTTGGCATCAGCACCTGATGGGGAGAGAGTAAGGAGGGCCATGTTTAGGAGCTGCTAGTCAAGCCAAGCAGAGCCAGGATGAGAAGAGGAGCTTGTTCTGCATCTTGTGTTTTTTTCCTATTTCTTGTAACTTATTCTGAAGTGACTGTACTCCTGCTGGAGGCAGTAGGTGGCAGAGAAGAAGCAATGCTTTCCCAGCTTCTGGCTCCAGATATTCTTGTCCCAGGACTCCTAGAAGGCCGAGCTGGCATAGCCAGTGGTCGGGGCCTCTGGGAGGCGTAGTCAAGAATATCTGGATGCAGTAAGGAAGTGGCAACTGTACTCCTCAGCCCCCTTCTGCAATTATTAATGGTGAAGACTTATAGAGGTCTGTTCAGAAAGAGGCCCCAGTGAATTAAATGAGGCATACTCCCAGGAAAATGTGTGTAATGTTGACATGTCCAGTTACATTTTGTAATCTGTTTCAGTTATAGATTGATTTTGACAGCTGTCGTTATTGCTAGCAAAAAAATGGCAAAACAAATGTCTTGATTCAGCAGTTCATTTCATATCCATGCACTTTAGTGTCTGAATGGATGTACCACCGCAGCAGGGAAGCATGCCAGTGTTTTCATTGCCCCCAAAAAGCACTTGTCTTGCATTTCTGGGGTGTTCTGTTTTGAGATGTGCAGTTTAATTTGTGACAGCAGACTTTCCCATGCTTAAACTCTTGTCTACATTGGGAGAGGCCAGCTGACCATAGCTAGCCCAGCCAGTAATAACCGATGATGGAAGCTGCAGTCTGGAAACTTCTGGAGGGTCACTGCTGCCCATCCCAGTTTATTTTAACCAACCCTAACCAGCCTGATCCTCATAATAGTTTATTGGTTCCTCTGGGGAGTGGTAGAAAAATTCCAGAGGGGGTGGGATGAGACTATGAGAATTTCATAAAGAGAAAAAAAATTGCCAGATTAAACAAAATTTTATGGTAGACATTGTTACTAGAGATTAAGATTTATCCAGAAAAACTAGTCTTGTGTTTAATTTGATAGAATTTTTATTGAGTCTCTTTTAGTTTTAAGTTGGGTTGGTTTTTTTTTCATTTAAAAGGAGTTGGATGAAAGTAAAGGACTGGTAGGGAGATGGGAGAGCTTCTTAGACATCAGGAGGGGGCATGGCGCTGAAAGGTTTGGGAAGCACTGTACACCTGGATACTCAGATGATGACTGATAGTGTCCATTTGCAGCCTCAAGTAAGGAAAGGTTTTCAGTGTTGCTTGTGCACAATGTGCAGTCCACCATATCTGGGTGGAAATAAGTTTGTATAAATTGGGGAAATGAGTGCTCTTGCTGTATTCATCCAACATGATGATCTCCTGAAAATTCCTCTTCTTTGTCTTTTCCAGGTATTAACTGGCTCATTCACATTGTAAAGGATCTGATTGCTACGACTTTAAAAACTAAGCAAGAGAATGAGGAATTGCCATTTATTGAATGTGGAGATCCAGAAAAGTATCAGGTTAGTAAGGGGCACAACCTGAATCAGTTGCTTGACTTACATGCAGTCAACAGTGGGTTGTATCTATGTTCAGTCAGGTAAAATAAACTAATTAGTGGACATGGAATATAATCAGTTCACAGTAATCAGTAAAAAGCAAGCAGCCCAAATAATACAGTTAAAGATCCAGAATGGAAGTGCGTTGTATATTGACAAATAGAAATACTTTGAAATTTAGTTGAATGAACAATAAGGACATAGCCACACAGTGAAAGTCAGAATAGAGATGGTTTGGAGCAATCATCTTGAAATGAAGAATGCAATGTACAGAAAAGGGAAAAAAACAAACCTTAAGATTTACTTTGAGAATGGCCATTGTTCAGGCTGTGTATTTTTGGTTCTGCTGTAAGACACAGAATTATTAAATTTAACATGGCTTACTATAAAGAAAGACAAAGGCTGTCCTGGGCCCTTGCAGGGACGGAGGGAGGGAGGGAGGGGGAGAGAGAGAGACAGAAAAGCAAGCAAGCAAGCAAGCAAGCAAGAGGCAGGCAGACAGGCACGCAGGCAGGTGTTTGGAATGTGAACTTGTTGCAGGTTGCTGAGAATTCCTTGGAGAAGGATTTGTTTGTGACCAGCACAGAAGGAAGAAAGTGACTGAACAAAGAATTGCAAAACTCATGAAATATGAAGAGCTAGAATACTTTGTGTCAAATTCATGTTGGTAGCTTCAATGACACTGTCCAACCATGTCATCCTCTGTTGTCCACTTCTCCTCTTGCCTTCACTCTTTCCCGACATCAGGGTCTTTTCCAGGGAATCTTCTCTTCTCATGAGATGGCCAAAGTATTGGAGCCTCAGCTTCAGGATCTGTCCTTCCAGTGAGCACTCAGGGTTGATTTCTTTCAAAATGGATAGGTTTGTTCTCCTTGCAATCCAAGGGACTCTCAAGAGTCTCCCCCAGCACCACAATTCAAAAGCATCAATTCTTTGGTGGTCAGCCTTCTTTATGGTCCTGCAAGCCTTATGCAAATACCAGTAGGATTCCAGCATCTATCTTTTAGAAAACACACTTGCTAGAACAAGCAACAGTTTCTGCAGGGATATGATAGATTTTTTTTACAGAGATTTAAGCTAATAGCCAGAAAAGCTTCTCAGCTTTACAGTAGCAACAAGTTCAAGTTGATGATTTGAAAAATAATGCTGGAGGGCAAGAATCCATTAGACACAAGCAGTAAAGCCTGCTGTGTTTCCATAGGACTGAGGATGTACACCCAGCCACCTGCTCTTACTTGTTGCCATTGTTCTTCCTCTCATATTGCCCTCTGTTCTTCCTGGCAATCTTAAGCTCTTTGGCCTGCTTTTTGATCTTAAATTCTCTTCCCTGCAGATGAGGTTGATTTCCTTGGAGAACGATGCTTTGCAGTGAAGTAACCTTGCCATGTTCCTATTCTTGCCTCTCACAGATTTGCAGTCTTGTTAATGATTATTAAGCTGAATCCATACTAGGCCCCTTGTGAGTATATTGCACACTTACCCTCACCACACCCCCATTGTCACTTAAATAGGGCAAAGTATCTGGTAACTTTTTCCATTTGTTGTTATTGTTGTTGTCCAAGTGAAGAGCAGCTGAACATTGTTGTCCTGTTTTCTCATTTTAGGTGCTGGTGTTGTTTCGAAATCCTAAAGATACGGCTGCCTCCTTTTTCCATTTTCACAACAGCACTCCAAGCGTTCCCAGTTATAACTCTTGGGAAGAATTCTTTTCAAGGTTTATGAATGGACAAGGTATTGTTTTACTTTTGAATGTGTTTGAGAAATGGAATATCTTAGGCTGACTAAGTTTAGGTTCTACCCATCAGAATGGGCACACTTGCTGGAGGAGAGGTGGCCTTTCCGAACAGCAGTGTTTTGGCATTTGAGTGGCTTCCTGACAGTGGAGGTACAGTTTGGAGGGGAAGCATTCGTTTTGCGGAAAGCTGAGCTGGGGAGTGAGCATCTGGAACCTCTGCAACCTGTGTGCCTTCATTGGCGATTCTGACCCTGAAAGAACTAATGGTTTTTTAAGAGAAAGAAAAGTGGTGCAACAGGAGCATCATTTTCCCTGGTGTGCCCAAAGGTACGGAAACAGAGGTCCCCCAGATGCTGCTGGCCTACATTTCCCATCCTACCTGATCATCAGCCATGGTGTTTGCGGATGATGCTTGTTGGGAGTCCAACAAGCTCTGGATAGCATGCATATGCACACATTTCTGTTATCTCAACATCCAGTCATATTAAACTTTGCAAGTCTTGGAAGGAACATAAATCCTACACAATCGGTGCACTGGACATGACAGTGTCATAATTGTGGGCATCATGTCAGTGCCAGTGGTCATAGATGGTTGCAGCCTGCCTTCAGATCAAACTGAACTGAGAATGTTTATCACAATCTTTAGCTGCTAGCTCTATTCACGTGGACACAAAACCAAACAACAATACTTTTTGGGAATCTTTTTAAGAATAATCACATTCTTTCTTCCCTTTGGAGTGTAGGTGACTCCCATGGATAGACACAGAGAGTAGTGTTCATCTGTCAGTAGAATGTTCACTGCTGGTGGAACAGATTCCTGTACCTCCTGCAGGAAAGGAAAAGGGAGACCTGTTTCATGGGTGAACATCCATTTCTGCAACATTTGATATTAACCCGGTTATTATATGAACATAATAAAACAGTTGAAAAGTAGTTTGCTGCTAGGTTTTGATGGCTCCTTGTCAGCAGAAACCATCCAAGGGCATAAAGGGAGGCCCTCTATGAGCCTACCTGGATATTAAGATCATGAGGGAAGGCCTTTCTCAGTTCCACCACCCATTTGGTGGCACATTTGGTGGGGACAGAGGAGAAGGCCTTCTCTGTTGCTGCTCCCATACTTTGGAACTCCCTCCTACAGGAGGCCAGGCAGGCCCCATCATTAGTGTCCTACCACAAGTAGACAAAGACCTTTCTCATCAGGCAGGCTTTCCTTTAAATGACTGGTTTACCAAGGGGATTTTTAAGGGAGCTTTTTAAAATACGTATTGTTCTTATTTTGAATTTTAATGTGATATTTGTTTAATGCTTTTTAAATTTTGTTAATTATTTATTATTTGGCTTTTAACTTTGTTTCTTTTAAATACTGCAAGCTGCCCTGGATCCTTCAAAAGAATGTGACAAACAATAAAAGCCATTCTGATGTGTTGCCTCTGTCTGATCTGCAGTTGCCTTAGGAACCCCTATTTTGACCATGCAGTCACTTGGAACAAACATATGGATGATGAAAATGTTCCGATCTTGACATACGAAGAATTAAAAGAGGTGGGCATATTCACAGTCACCAGTGAGGATTATTCTTATGCGTAAATATAAAGTGGCTGCCCCAAACTGATCTTGTTTTGCCAGCTGTGACTGGACATCAAGCTTCTGGACAATTTGTCCAAGTCAGAAGGCAGTGATGCTTGTCTGTGTCCTGAGGCTCAAATTGGTGTCTGAGAGACATGGATAGAATGATTTAGCAGTCTAGGAGCCAAGCCATATTTTACAGATTGCATGTCAATACAAGCTGAAGTCTGTTAGTCTTTCAGAGACTTGGTTCCAGCAGATCTTCATGACTGAGCAGTCACATGTGTATGTCTATGTCCAGAAGACTAATTTAAAAGAAAGAGAGCTGATTTGGAAACTAAAGAAGATGTGTGATAGGCTTCACAGTGATAGTCAGACATTTCCAGCAGTTAAGGAATCCCCTCTCCTAAAGAATAGCTATCTCAAATCTATAGCACAGCCGTCAGCAATCGTGCTACTCACTAATGTACTATGAACTTTGAAATTGCTAGCCTGTTTCAATCAGAACTTGAGTTGTAGCATTTGGGTATATATATTTTTAATGGAAAGTAAACTTTCTAGTTATTCTTGAGAAATGGAAACACAAAGAGCAACTTTTCACTATAAGAGTAATGGTTTACTCTCTTGGGAATTTGAATGGAAGCTAATCAGTTACTTTCTGGGAGTAACTTTCGAAGCTCTAGTTTTAATGGTCTTTTGAGCAAAGAAGTGCTCACTGGCTGTACAGCAGCTAAAATAGGTTTACAAAACAAGTAATTATTATAACTGATCGTACTGAAAGTAGAAAATATATACATTGGCTGGAGTCCAGTAGTAAGTTGCAACCTGAGTAAGCCCATTGAATCCTTAAGACTTGGTCAATCAACACTTGTATAAACTCAATTAATTCAATGGGCATATTGTAGTTGCAACATACTACTGGATTTCAGCTTGTGTTAGAGAAGACTGGTGTTCTTTTTTCTGATAAGCTTCAGGTGCAATCTATACCTTTGAAAAGAGCCACCATTTGAGCTGTAGTAATGTCTGAGAGACATAACTGAACCAATTTTTTTGCCTTAGAAATCACACTTACAAAGGAAGAACATGTTTCTGATATGATCAGACACAATCACAGAATGAAGCAAGCTAATTAGGAAATGACAGGAGTGGCGGCTTGACGCTGCAATGAGACAGCAGGAGGAGGATGGATCTCCATCCCCTGGCCTGAATTCTAACCTGTTTGGGACCCCTTAGGGCAGTGGTCCCCAACCTTGGACCTCCAGATGTTCTTGGACTTCAACTCCCAGAAATCCTGGCCAGAAATCCTGGGAGTTGAAGTCCAAGAACATCTGGAGGCCCAAGGTTGGGGACCACTGCCCTAGGGGATTAAAATCACCCCAAAGAGGTGGTGAAATGGGGGAGAAGCCTATTGATCACGAGGGGCGGGGGGATGGTGGTTATCCACGTTTGATCCAGGAAACTCCCCAATCAACCAGCAAGTGGAAACAAGCAGCTGAATTAGCCTGCTTGCAAATCATCAGCAGCCAGCAAACAAAGAAGCAATAAATCAGCTAATTTAACATCATCGTTACCACTGGGTGAGATACAAAATCTTAACTATACTGCTCTATGATAAACCCTTTAACAGAAATAAGCATCTCTTAGCCCCACCACTAAATAGAGCAGTGGTGGATCTGGAGAAGGGGAAAGAGACGCAAAGAGATGCAAAGAAAATAAATTGGACATTAATTAAGCACTTATTTATACTTCAAGGAAGGAAGTTTGGTATTACTTTGGCATTAAACTTATGAAATTGTCCTCTTAAAAGTATTTTAGCCAAACAACGCTGGGAGTTAAACTGTTTGTTATGGCTATCTTCAGTGTTGGCAAAAAGCTAAGAACATGACCTTGAATACTCAAACTTAGAACTCTGTTTTGACTTTCCTTTTTTTCTGAGAATTGACTAAAATATAGAAAGTCTAATACAAACATAGAGTGAACAGGGATGTCAACCTATGTCAGAGACTGGATTCCAAATTAACCCTAAAGGTCATCAGTTTACTAAAGTGGACTTATTGAAACAATTATTGATGAAACTAGACTACTGCTCTAAGCTACTCGACATCTTTCACTTGAAATACAAGTACTTGGCATCTTGGGACATAATGCTACAACAAGGGAAATTTTGGGATGAAACAAAATCTACCCTTCAAGCAATCTTAGAAATAGTGAGATCCCATAATGAAGAGGTGAAATCATTTAAGGAGCAACTAAAGAAGGACTATATTCAACAGGAGACAGGGAATAATGAACGAAATGTGACAATGGTGGATGATGTATGCCAACCAAAGGAAACTGGAGGAAATCAGAGGAGGAAATTTAGGAGATTTAATTCTAACTCTAGAGCCAAGGATAATTTTAGCTGTGTTAAAGGAAGATAAGGGGAGAAACTCAGCAGAATTAATTAAAAATAGCCTGGAAGATCTATTGGCGATAGATCAAGTGCATAAAATGTTTTCATATGATACAAGGAATGGCAGAATGTTTAGAGAGACAGAAACAGGAATTGGGAAAAGACAAATAAGAGAAGGAGTTAAAAAAAAAGGAAAAAGGAAAAATACTAAGGTGGCCCTCAACATTGAAATCATGTACTGTATATACAGTGGTGCCTCGCATAGCGAGGTTAATCCGTTCCGGATTAACCTTCGCTATGCGAAAACATCGCTAAACGGGAATAAAAAAGCCATAGAAACGCATTGAACTTCGTTCAGTGCGTTCCTATGGCTTTAAAACTCACCGTTAAGCGATGTTTTTCCATAGCGCCGCCTTTTTCGCGCCCTCGGTAAGCGAGGGCAGGGCGCGAAAATGCGGCGCGGACCTTCCGGCGGCCGTTTTGGAACCGCCGATCAGCTGTTCTCCCCGCTTCGTTCTGCGAAAATCGCTAAGCGAATTGCTTAGCGATCATCGCAAAGCGAAAAAACGCTATAGGGGCCATCGCTGAGCGAACACTCCAGCGATGGCCCGGACCCCCTCGCTATGCGAATTCATCGCATAGCGAAGCACTCGCTAAGCGAGGCACCACTGTACCTAACTTCTGAAATCATAAAGGGGCATATCTTATATATGAAAAAAGGGAATTAAATTGAAATAAGGGATCACTAATCAGAGTAAAGGCATAACACGGTGGTTTTTAAGGTATATTAAAACTAGATATAAGGACGGGGCAAAACAAATAGTACTTAATGATATACATTAGATATGATATTGATATAGACATGATAGAAAACGTGGAGATAGAAATGGCTAAACAATTATATAAAGAAAATGTGTATAAAATGCTTTAGGTAACATCTATTATGTTGGGAACCTATTCAGTTATTATTGGTATAAAATACAAAGTTCGTTGGTTAAATCACCTCAAAATTATATGGATTTGGAACTGGAATTACTTTTATTAGGTATGTGACTAGAGGATTTTGAGAACATTGTATACTATGAGAGCAATATTATGATAGTAGCCAATATTGTATACTAAAATATCCACATGAATGATTTAAATGTTTAAAAAATATATAGATTTTGAGGAGACAACTAAGAAGACACCAAGACGTAAAAAACAAATAATTACAGCAACCCATGTAACACGATATTTAACAAGCACAAATTGAATGTAGATAGATTGAAAAACTAATAAAATGTTTAAAAGGAAAAAAAATGGAAAAAGGAAAAGACAGTGGAGGAAAGCCCATGCTGTGACAATCACAAAAATCAGCATTAAAGGCATTTCTTTTTCTAGTGACAGCCATTTAAATTGGACAGCACTTCTCCCAATTCATATTATTCAAACTAATGGGGATTTTGTAATGTGGCATGTGCTTGGTGTTTTATGGAGGGGAGAGATTTGAACATCCAAAGCCCATCTGAACCAGACAGTCCCTTTGTCCTGAAAGCTTTAGCTTCTGTTGATTCTTCAACTGCTTGCATGTGACTTATGGCCAGTGGTGAGTGACAGCTGTGCCTTTAATTACTTCCTCAAGACTGAGCCAAGGCAAGCCACTGAGTATTGCCTGATTGTCTCAAATGCACTATTGAGTGGTCTACTTTACTGACCATGTCACTACATTGCTTTCAGGATTTGATTGCTGGAATAAAGAAGATAGCTGAATTATCTGGTTTTGCTGCTACAGAGGAGCAAATTCAGGCTATTGCCAACAGGGCACTTCCAAGCAGTGCGGCAGAGATCGCAGGAGATGCATGGGGCAGCTGGGCCTTTTCTCTTCCGCAAAGGTAAACTGATTTAAAAATAAAGTTGGTGCTTGCTTGCTATCTTGATCATCATCAAAGATAATGAAGTGTATGGATGTGTCACTGGTGACCAAGGCCAAGATAATCCACACTCTTGTATGAGTCTTCATGAGAAGACAGGATTATCTGGAAAAGACAGTAATGCTGGGAAAAGTGGAAGGCAGCAGGAAAAGAGGAAGACCAAATAATAGATAGGTTGAGTCCCCAAAGGAACGAAAAGGCTTGAATTTTTAAGAGCTGAGCAGGGAGGTTTAGGACAGGACATTTTGGAGATCGCTCATTCGTAGGGTCACCATAAGTTGGGGACTTGATGGCACATAACAAAAACAACATATTGTTATAGCTCGTAACATGTTTCACAATAGACTTGTTTAGAGCCGGCAGAAATGAGAAGTCTGGTGTCCTCTATTTCATTTTGATTAGTAGTAAAACTTTGCACGTGCTGATGCAGATCATTGGTCCCAAAGAGGCTTACTCTCAGGTAAGTGTGTCCAGGGCTGCAGCTGTAGAATATTAAAGGCTACACTAGAGCTAGCTAGTAAGGCATCAGTAAAGGGTCTGGCATGTAAAAGAACAAGTATTAGCTCAGGAAGCTGAGTTGTGCCAAATCAGAGCATGGATTTAACTCAGAGTGGCACAAATCTTTTCCTTAGTTGTGCTAGTGTAGCGCAA